GTCTCTTCTCCTTCCTTTTTTTTTGATGTAAAAAAATTTTATTTTAAAAATAAAATGTTTTCCATTTGGTATTCTCTAAAAGTCTGTCTGGATAGGGCCTAGCTGGAGCTGTGTGGGCTGTTCACTCCACACTCGGTCCCCTCCCACCTCCTCCCTTCTCTGGGGGGACATGCCTGTGCCCATGGACTGGTCCATGCCTGGCTGGCACTGACCCTGCTCATTTCCTCCCACAGGAAGCCCCTGGCTGGTCCCCCACAGAGCTCAGCTTTGAGGATGGAGTCAGGAGAGGGGTCCTCAACAGCCCCGACCCCCGCTGCTGCCCTGGAGGAGCCGAACATGGAGCCTGACTGCTCTTCCCCAGGGCTGCCAAGGGCAGCCCCGGGGAAGTTCCAAGCACTGCCCCTTGGGTCCAGAGCCCCCCGCAAGGACCCTGACCCCGGGAGTCCTGGCAGCCCGACCGCAGGGGACAGGCCCCCAGATGCAGGCCCCGCGGGGGACCCCAGTGGTGGCGCTAAGATCCCTAATCGCGACAGTGGGATCGACAGTCCATCCTGCAGCGTGGCCGGCGAGCACTTTCCCTGTGAAGAGGGTGGTGAGGCCGGCCTGGGCCCCATGGTCCCGGGGCTACACCCAGAGGCAGCCCCAGAAGGTGGGGCCCTGCGGGAGGAGGCCGACAGCGATGATGTGGGCGAAGGTAGCGCTGAGGAGCCAGACACTGAGAACAGCCCGCCGGGGGCCCGTGTGGACACAGCCAAGGTAGGCCACCCCACCTCCAGGCAGCAGGGGTCTTCTGAAGGGTCTTGAGGGTCACGGTGGCATCGCTCCCGCCTGGTTCCAGTAGTGGCTGCACGTCAGCACGCTCAGACAGGCCCTGCAACAGGTCAGTGGGTAGGGCAGGGGCCCCAACACCTCAGGCGGCAACCTCACTGCCGAGCCTAGGTTAACATGTCCACACGGTGGCACGGGGACCCCACCCCCGGTGGCCGTGACGGTGCTAATGGAACCACCACCACACCCTTCACCAGGACTGGCTGCCTGCCTGGCAGAGCCCCTGTGAGGAAGGCAGCATAAGTGTCCCCTGTGCTAGGAATGGGGAACCCCAAGGTCACCGTGGAGCATGGCAGGGGCGGGAGGGGAGCCTGGGCACAGGAGCCAAGCCCTGTGCAGATGCTCCGGGAAGGAGATATGCCCACAACATGGCGGGTGTGCTGTGACAGACCCACCTGTGTCCTGTCAGCATCTCGGGCTCTGGGCGCCGTGCGGGGACGTGTGGGGATGGGGAGATGAAGCAGGGGGCCCTTGGCTCTGAGAGACGCCTGTGCGTGGGGAGGGTGGCACAAGCAACCGGGTCCTACGAGAAGCCCAGGTGACCCCTGGTTGAGGTGACCCCCGACCTTGTGGCCCCGGTGGAGGGGACCCCCGACCTGCTGGCCCCGGTGGAGAGCCTACTGGCTAACGTGACCGAGACAGAAGACAGGCCTGGAGGGTGAGGGGCCACCACGCGCCCTCGCTGTTGTGAGCCAACTTTTCGGGGGCAGGAGGGAGCTGTGGTTTAATCTAGGTTTTGTTACTGTTCGGGTGTGGTAATGCCAACACATCAGGAGGCGGCAGCCGTTGAAAAAGATGGTGGGGAGTCTGGCTGGCTCGGCCAGTAGAGCACGTGAGTCTTGATGTCCAGGTTGTGCGTCAGGCCCCACGTTGAGCGTGGAGCTTACTTAAAAACGGATGGTTTGTTACTTATAGTTCCCAAGAAGAGGAGCAGGCCGGGCCACGGGGCCACACGGGCAGGACCAGAGTGGGTCAAGAGGCAGAGGGGGTGAAAACTGTGGCAAATACACATTGTGGTTTCTGTGGGAAGGAACGGGAGAAGCAGAGTGAGCAAGTTTGGATTGGCCAACTTGAATGACCTTGGTGTGCCCTGGGCACAGACGCGTTCCCAGATGTCTGGATCAGCGTGGCCTGGCTTGCATGTGAAAGACACGATTGCACGTGGGTCCTTTATATCTGCAAGAAACAGCCAGACCTGGGAGGGGCCCTTGCTGTGGGGTCAGCAAGGTCCCAAGATGTCCAAACACCTGAAATACAGAAAATAGGGGCATCTGGGTGTCTCACTTCGTCTCAGGTCACGATCTCACCATTTGGGAGTTTGAGCCCCACGTGGGGCTCTCCTTCAGATCTCTGCCCCCCTCCCTCTCTGCCCCTCCCCCACTCGTGCGTGCGATGTCTCTTTCTATGTCAGAAATAAATAAAATGTTAAAAAAAATTAAATGCAGAAAATAAATGATGTGGTTACTAAGGACCACACCACCTGTGACTCTCAAGGTGTGTCCGGGGTGCTGGGAGCAGGTGCAGACCCCAGGCTTGTCCCATCCTGCCCACACAGGCTCTGGGGATGTGCCTGGGGCCAGGGGCTTGCTGGAGAAGGCCCAGGTCTTCGTGTCTCTAATATGGAGATGCCAACACTTCTGGGTTTGTCTGCCTTCTCCATCCTGGGTGTCTGGTTAGAACATCACACACTGGCCCATCCCTGGTGTGAGGCACTGGACCAGAGCCCTGGGACCCTGTGCCTCACGTCCCCCCACCCAGGTAGAGTGAGGGCATGCTGATGTGGGAGGGTCACACACATCAAGTCAGCCTTTATTATGTGGAGGAAGTCCCCGTTTATTCATAGTATGTTGCTTTTATCACAAAGGGTATTGCATTTTATCAAATGCTTCTTCTGTGTCAATTAAGATGATCAGGTGGGGTTTTTGATTCTGTAAATGTTGTGTGTTGAATGTTGATGTATGGAAGCACTCTGGCATCCCAGAATAAATCTTTCTTGGTCATGGCATATGATCCTTTTAGGTAGTGTTGAATGAAATTTGCTACTGTTCTGTTGAGGACTTGCACATCAGTGTCCTTTAGGGAGGTTGCTCTGTAGCCTCCTTATAAAGTCTTTGAGTGGCTTTGGTATCAGGGTAATGCTGGCCTCACAGAGCTCAGCTATGTTCTCTCCTCTTTATTTTTTTTTTTAAGTTTTTATTTTATTTTGGGGGATGGGGAGAGAGAGAGAGAGAGCACACACACACACACACACAATTGGGGGAGGGGCAGAGAGGGTGGAGGGAGCGCGAATCACAAGCAGGACCCTTGATGTTGCCACAGAGTCCCACGCAGGGCTGGATCCCATGAACTGCAAGATTATGACCTGAGTCGAAATCCAGAGTCAGATGCTTAGCAGACTGAGCCCCCCAGGCACACCTGTTCTCTCCTCTTCAATTCTTTGGAAGCATTTGAGAAAGACTGGTATTAATTTTCCAATGAAATCATCTGGTCCTGGGCTTTTCTTTTTTGGGAAGTTTTTTATTTCTTAGCCAATCTACTTACTCATTGTGGGTCTATTCAGATTTCCTATTTCTTCATGACTCAGTCTTGATGTGTTTCTAGGAATTTATCCATTCTTGTAGGATGTCCAGTTTGTTGGAGTATAAATGTTAATACCAATCTCTTGTGATCCTTTTTATTTCTGTGACATCAGTTGTAATGTTTTCTCTTTTATTTCTGATATTAGTAATTTGAGTCTTCTCTCTTTATTTCTTAGTAATTTAGCTAAGAGTTTGTCAATTTTGTTGACCTTTGCAAAAAACAACCCTTAGTCTTGTTGATTTTTTCCATTGTTTTTCTATTCTGTGTTCCATTTATCTCTGATCTAATCTCTATTATTTCCTTCCTTCTGACTACTTTGGGTTTAGTGTGTTCTTTTTCTCATCTCTTGAGGTGTAAAGTTAGGTTGTTGATTTGAGTGGAGGGTTCTGTGTATGTCTGCTTGGCGGGTTGGTCTACTGTGTTGTTCACAGCCTCTGTTTCCTCACTGGGACTCTGTCTGCAGGTCCAGTAGGAAAATGGGGTACACAAGGCTCCTACCATCTCTGTGTTGCCGTGTCGCCCTTCAGTTCTGTCAAGTTTGCTTCCTATATTCAGGAGCTATCAGGCTTGGTGCATAAACATTTGTGGTTGTGTCTACATTGATCCTTTTATCATTATATCCTGTCCCTTGTTCTGTCTTGTAACAGAAGTTCTGTCTTGTCTTTTTTCTTTAAAGTCTGTTTTGTCTGATATTAGTGTGCCCACCCCTGCTCTCTCTTTGTCTCTATGTGCATGGAGTATCTTTTCCATCCTTCTCACTTTTAGCCTACGTCTGTCCTTAAATCGAGAGTGAGTGTCTTGTGGACAGCAAGTAGTTACTTGGATAGTATTTTTTTAATCCATTCATCCAGTCCATGTCTTTTGATTGGGGAGTTTAATCCATTTACATTTAAAGTAATTACTGATTGGGAAGGACTTAACCATTGCCATTTTGGTCATTGTTTTCTACATGTCTTGTGGATTTTTTGTCCCTTTCCTACTGCCTTCCTTATTTTTCATTGAATTTTTGTAATGGTATGTTTTGATTCCCTACTCATTTCCTTTTGTGTATATTCTGTAGGAATTTTTTTCTGTGGTTACCATTGAAGTTACATAAAACACCATAAGTTATAGCATTCTATTTTAAACTGGTAACAAGTTGACTTTGACTGCAAAAACCACTCCTTTACAGCAGCCCCTCCTCCCCACTCCATTACTGATGTCATGAATTACACATTGATATACTGTTTACCCTTTAGTGTAGATTTCCAGGTTTTTAATGGTTTCTGTCATTTAAATTTTATGCACCAGAATTACAATAATACAGGTTCTATCTGTCCATGTGTTTTCCTTACCAGAGCGCCTGTATTTTTGTACAGCTGCATGACTCTCTAGCATTTCTTACAGAGCAGGTCTGGTGATAATGAACTCCTCGCCTTTTGTTTGTTTGGGACACTCTTTTTTAATTTCTTCTTCATTTTTTTTTTTTCAACGTTTATTTATTTCTTTTTGGGACAGAGAGAGACAGAGCATGAACGGGGGAGGGGCAGAGAGAGAGAGGGAGACACAGAATCAGAAACAGGCTCCAGGCTCTGAGCCATCAGCCCAGAGCCTGACGCGGGGCTCGAACTCACGGACCGCGAGATCGTGACCTGGCTGAAGTTGGACGCTTAACCGACTGCGCCACCCAGGCGCCCCATTTCTTCTTCATTTTTGAAGGACAGCTTTTCTAGATACAGCATTCTTGGTTTACAGGTTTTGAGTTCAGCGCCTTTCTGGTCTGCCATCTTGCTGACAAAGGCCACAGGATACTTTGATGTGGCTGCTCCACCGGCTCTGTGGCCAGGGTCTCGGGAGGGCAGAGCTGTCTCTGGGCTGCAGAGGCTCTGAGGGGATTGGCAGGAGCTGCTGTGCCTTCCCCAGAAACCTCCCCAAAAAGTCCCAGGCCTAGCGGTCTCCTCCGGCCCTCCGGGACCCCTGGTCACCCAGCGTCAGAGCCGCCTCCCCAGGGAGCTATGCTCTTCTCTCTGCAGTGCTCTGAGCCCCAGAAGCTGCTCCACATCGCCCAGGAGCTCCTGCACACAGAGAAAACCTACGTGAGACGGCTGCACCTACTGGACCAGGTAGCACACGCAGCCGGGCCCTTCTTCATGCATGTGAGGGTGTCTGTGCGCAGTGGCGGAGGCAGAGTCCCCATCTCATGGTGCTGGCTAGGCCTTACGGTTGGAATGTGAGTCTCGTCCAGAGACCCCTCCCTTTCGCTGTCTGAGCCTGGGGCTCTGGGACAGAGGTCTTGTCCTGTCACTGCGGGGTCTTTCTGCCTGGCAGTTGCGTTGTCTCAGCTCGTGAATGGCCTCTGGAAATCTTTCTGTGTAAGTGGTCGGGACAGCGGCTGGCCCCTCCCTGTCCCCACAGCAGCACAGGATTTATGGGCACAGGAAATAAACCCCTGGGGAACTCAGAGAGTGCTAGGTGCTGCTTCTGTCTGTAGCTCACGGAGCAGAGGAAGGAAATCGGGACCTCCCAGGTCCCGTGGCAGGTGGGTGGAGGGAAGATGGCCCGTCCCCATCAGCAGGGGACTGTGTCTGCCTCACCCACACTCCTCAGCCATAAGTTCGCTCGCTGTAAAACCGTAGGTTTGAGCCAGTTTGATGAAGAAAACGGGCAGCAGCAGCCTCTCCCGAACGCCTCACGGGGCAAATGCGGTCGTGCTGTCTGTGGCAGCCCTCGCTCAGCGCCCGCTCTGTGGGCCTCTGCACCCCAGGTTTTCTGCACCCAGCTGGCGGAAGCAGGCATCCCTCCGGAAGTCACCACAGGCATCTTCTCCAACATCTCCTCGATCTATCGTTTCCACGGGCAGTTCCTCCTGCCGGAACTGCAGACACGGATCACGGAGGAGTGGTGAGCGTGGCCCCGGGTCCCGCGGAAGTGGGGGCGGGCATCTCCCCAGGAGCGTGACCTCAATGCTGGTGGAGGCTGGGGCCCTGGCGACTCTGTCGTGGTGGTTTTGTGGAATTCTCACGACCCAGCGGCCTCTCAATCTGGTTTGTGTGCCTGAAAGACAAGGAGGCACCTGAGGGCCTGGCTCCTTCCATGCAGTGTCCCCACATCTAGGCTGCCTCACCTGCAAATCAAAGGGACTTCAATACCCACTCAGGGCTTTATGGGATCTCAAACATCGAGTAAACAGTGCCGGCAGGTTCATTTCCCTCCTCGTGTATACTCCGCCTTGGCCTTAAAAACTGAGATGTTCCCCCTCGCAGTGCCCCTTGGATCCTCTGCTGCTGTCCCCAGGGGCGGTCCTGCCCCTCTGCCCCTCTGGGCATTCTTAGCAGAGGGTCAGCTCGGCCGTGAGGCATGGCCCCAGACTTGCCATTCTCCGCAGCATGTGCCTCCCCCCACTCCCCGCCCCCCGGTTCCGGGTGCTGCTGCTTCGCTCTGGGGCCTCTGCTGCTCCCTCCCTTCTCTGGCGCCCAAGAGCCCACTCTGCAGCTGCAGCCGGGCCACTGAGAGCACAGACGCCAGGAGCCTTGACTCGGGTGTCAGGGAGGGTCCCTGGCAGTTGGTCGGTCCTTTGTAAGGATGTACTCCACCTGCAGTGAGGGTTATACAGTCCCCAGGCCGCTGTGCACACTTGCTTAAAAGTGGGTTTTCTCCTTGAGGATCTGGAAAGACCACGTGTGCGCAGATACTCCCCAGGGCCTTGCCCGCCTGCCTTCACAGGTGGCCAGCCTTTGAGCGACGTCCCCCGGTGCACGGTCCAGTGATGCCACAGTGGATGGCTGTCTGCACGTGCTTTCTGACCATCTCTTTAGGGTCGGTTCCCCACAGTTCCAAGGCCAAAGGCTGTTGATGTCTTTTTCCTCTGGAAGTTCGTTTTCAAATCCCCGTCCGTGCACTCCTTCCCCTTCTTAGGCCAGCGCCTGCTCAGCCCCTTGTTCCTAAAATCTGCTCATCTAACGGCTGAAATGGGGTTTCACGGATGCTCTTTGATGGGTGCCTGTCATTTGAGCAGTCACGCCACCGCGGGCACCCCTGGTGTGGAGCGGCGGTCCTGTGCCTGCACTGTCGAAGGGCCCATGCGATCCTCTCGTTTACCTCGTGTAGTGTGCTGTTTCCCAGCCCGTGGGATATGGGAGGCGGGGTGGAAGTCAGGCTCAGAGAGGGTGACCGGTGTGCCCACCATCACACAGAGCTGGGGGCTGGGCTGCTGGCCCACAGATTCCTGGTGAGTCCCTGTCCTACCTCTGGCCCCTCGCCCAAGCTGTTTCTCGGACAACCGGTCTCCCCTGCACAGGGACACGAACCCCCGGCTTGGAGACATCCTGCAGAAGCTGGCCCCGTTCCTCAAGATGTACGGCGAGTACGTCAAGAACTTCGACCGTGCTGTGGAGCTGGTGAGCACCTGGACCCAGCGCTCACCGCTGTTCAAAGAGATCATCCAGGGCATACAGGTAGGGCAGCCGCCTGACTGTGCAGCATGGCGCGGGGTCGCGTGCTGGCGCAGGGAAGTTCAGTGAAACAGCAGATTGTGTCCAGAAGCTCTACGCAGTAACCACGGGACGTGAACCCTAGTTGTCATTTCACAGGAGGGAAGCATGCCTCAGAGAGGTGGTGCGATGTGTTACTGGGTAGATTCTGGGTCCAGTGCCCGTGTCTCCCACTCACCAGCCACGCAGGCATGGAGGGGAATGTGCATCGGTCTTCCTTCTGTCTTTCTGCAAGCCGCCCGATCACGTCTCTGCTGCAGCAGTCTCTTCTATGTCACTTTTTTTTTGTTTAACAATTTTTCAGATTTTTAATGTTTTTTAATGGAATTTTTTTCTTTCTTTCATTGTACAATTTTTTAAATGTTTATTTTTGAGAGAGAGAAAATGCGCACATGCACAAGTAGGGAGGGGCAGAGAGGGAGCCACAGAATCCGAAGCAGGCTCCAGGCTCTGAGCTGTCAGCACAGAGCCCGACGCGGGGCTCGAACTCACGGACCGCGAGATCATGACCTGAGCCGAAGTCAGACGCTCAACCGACTGAGCCGCCCAGGCGCCCCAGGCTTTGATATGTTAAGAACATCTTCTGTGTCCTACAAGTTATTTTCCTCATTGATCTTTTATTTTTTAATTTTATTAATGTTGTTTGCCATACAAATTTTTTGTTTTTAAGTACTCACGTTTACTAGTTCTTTTTTTTTTTTTTTAATGTTTATTTTGTTTTGGGAGAGAGGGAGAGCACGAGCAGGGGAGGGACAGAGAGAGGAGAGAGAATCCCAAGCAGGTTCCACACTGTTGGAGCAGAGCCCAATGTAGGGCTCAATCTTATAACCTTGGGATCATGACCTGAGCTGAAATCAGGAGTCACACACCCCACTGACTGAGCCACGCAGGTGCCCCTTCACTAGTTTTTTAATATATTAACGCTTTAAGAAATCTTTAAAGTAATGCTTACAAATGCGTTTCCCATCCCACGGCTGTGTTATGTCTTCATTTTAAAAAATTAGAATTGCTATTCCAGAATAGTTTCCAAAAGGATTGTGGTAGGAGGTAAGAATCCAGTTTTATCTTTGTGAATAGTTAGCTGCTTGTCCCAACATCTGTTTACCCTGAGCGCCACACTTGGACACCACAGAGTGCATGTGTGTGCACATGCCACACACACACACACACACACACACACACACACGTGCGTGTACACATGCATTCACACACACCTTACTCCACTCTGCATCTTCCCCAGATCCTGCAGCCATCAGGTCACCTGTGATTTCCTAGTGTAGA